TGTTTTGCCAATTAAATTAAGGAAATCTATGAAATATTTATGTTGGGAGATGAAAATTTCACGTCTGGAATGAGAAACTTCAATTCCATTGGACTCTTGAATCCCAAGAATTCTGTAGTCAAGCAATTAATAAGATGTTTTGATGTGAGGATAGCCTACCCTCAAAAGGATTTAGGTCTAAAGTAGCAGGGCTCGGGTGTTTTAAAAACTGTGCCTATTTTTTCTCAACTATCCCATTTTGTTGTGGGGTATTAAGACAAGAGAACCCGTGTAAGATTCCCTCTATCCGAAAGAATGTGGTTGAAGTAAACCATGGAATTGTCTACCCAAAGCCACTTTATGCTGATCCCAAATTGGCTTTAACAATTACTCCAGGAAGAAACAATTCTAATTTCGGACTGGTGATTTTAAGTAGAAAGATCCAAGTTACACAAGTACAATCATCAATGAAAGACAAAAATCAATTTGCCCCATAAACATTAGGAATAGAATAAGGACCCCAAACTAGCTGGAAAATTTAGACACTTGTATTTGGAAAGTTCACAAATTTCACCATGAAAATTGTCAGCATTTAGGTGTGTAAATAAAGAGGGAAATACACTCTTAATAATTTTGGAATGAAAGTGTCCCAATCTATGATGGAGGAGCCAAATTCCTTCTTTATTGGAGGAAGCACAATTGGAATTGAGAGAGTGTGGTATTCTGCCCTTGATCATGTGCAATTGACAAGATGTTTCAAGGTAGTGGAGAGTGGAGACCGTCTTGTTCCTTAGCACATCCAATCATCTTCCCCAAATCCTTGTCCTAAGAATCCCTGTTTTGGGATTTCTTAATTGACTAAAGGATACAATTAAATGTGCCTAATTCTAAGAATGAATCTGTTACAGAATACTTCCTAGTATAGATGACAGAATCAGCACAGCATAGCATATCACGGCTTTCTCACAATTAACATCACTAAACATATTGATTATAATCTTCAAAGTTTTTACAAGTATAGAAAGCATTACTCACTGTATCATTTCTGAAGTCATACTCCTCCAACATGGGATAATTTAGTGCATTTGGCAAGCAACGTTGCTTTACGTTTTCAACCTGTATATAAAGTGAAAAATTTAAATAGAATAATTTGATGTAAAGTAATTGCAAATTACAGCATTCTAATTTCTGATAACAATCTAGTCTACACTTTAGACAGCTGTCATTAAATCTGCCAAAAAAAAAATTGATTTTCTAAGCTTCTTGTAGTGAAACTCATGGAATATTTTGGCACTATATTAATCAAGTATTGGGGAATTATACAATACAACCAATGCACCCCTGAAGTGACATAAAGTTGGCCCAAAAATTAGGAAAGATGAAGTCTATCATTTTGGTGCTGATTGGTAGTAGAAAAAATAAGGGACGTAGCTTAGGATCTTAGACGCCACCTGAAGTATTTACATTTATGGCTTTGGCAATTAAAAAGTACACAGAACAACATCAGAGCTGCAGCATAGCGAAGTAAGAACTTAGCATTAAAAAGTATTTGGCTAGTTCCGATAGCTGTATACATTTAAATTTTGTTTTCTTAAGTTCAATTAAATTAATTCATTCATTGTCTTTTTCTGAGACGTGAATGACCTAATCTTGCATCAATTTTTTATGACAAGTGACAGATCATTTATTCAACTTTGTGGTCCATTACGTGGTAATATCACGGAAACTCGGAAACAAAGAGATTAAGGGTATTGGAGTAAAAAATACTGCAAAATTACACCTACATTACCTGAGAAGGATCAATTTCAAAAGAATGAGCTTCTTTCTCTTCTGCAGCCGCTGCCACTTCTGCTTCATTTAGCAACTCGTCATGAGTGCCTCCAATTTCACCTGCTGCTTTGCTGATTGTAAATCCATCTCCATTTGCACCCTAAAAAAAACATCTATGGATTCTGAATTTCATTTGTGTATGGGAAGGGGCAGCAATAAGAAGAATGCACACAAATGCAATTCACAGCCAAAACTCTAAATTTTTAGTGGTCAATACTCTACAAAAGCAGAAAAGACCTATGAGCAACCAATTCAATATCACATGGTAGCACTTTAGAAGAATGTCTAATGTATGAACTAGCGTTGTCAAAATAGATATCAGACAGCAATGAAGGAGGTCAGTCCAATTATGTCCCATCCATTCACAAGGAAATACTAGAAATATAGTTACATGTAGGATAGCAAATCAGCCAAGAATATCTAAGGGTCGTGCATTGGGAACATAAATAATTTTGTACACATCACCAAGGCCTATAGTAATAAATCCAGTTATATTTATCTGGACACAATAAAGACATTAAACAAAAGGTCAAGCTATACCACCCAAACGTGTCGAACAGAGCCCCACAAACAAAGAATGTGATGACAAACCTCAGAAGTAATCCTAGCTCGAGATATAGCTTCATCCCTGAGCAATGTCTTCAATACCTATAAGGTTTGTTAGATGAACCGCGTGAGATCTTACCAAAGGATTCACGGTGATTGGAAAGGACAACATGAGACATGGGGGATAGTGAGAGCAATATTTATATACCTCTGGAAATGGAGATTCAACAAAGTAGCGATTCTTCTTAAGCACGAGTTTTACTTTGCCATAATTTGCAGTAGAATCATGTATAAATTTAATCATCTCTTTGGGAAGCTTGGTCTTAGATAACTTGTTCAAGACAGATATGACTGTTTCTGTTTCTAGACCAACAGAAACCGCCGCATACAGCGAGTGCGGAGTAAGGTTGTATTCATGCATTGACTCCGGCCTATCAATCATCATTATCACACATATCAAGCACATAAGTACCAATCTAATAGTTTAACATGCCACTGCACTTTCCCATAATAATATTTTCTACCTGCAAACAGGCTCGGCGATGGCAATAAGAAAATCGTAAGCTTGCTTATACAAAGGAGAGAAGGTCTCGAGGAATATGCGGCCATTGTCACAAGCCCACAAAGGGCGATTGAGATGATCCTGTTTCAGCTCTAATTTGCTAAAATCCTTCGTTCTCCTTTCTGTTTCACGCGAAAACCCTCAATCCGATATCATCGTGCGTGACGCAAAATAATAATCCCCCAAAAAACAACACTCTAATCCTACGGAGAGGTTAAGTCTTTAAATAGAAATAGATCGTAAATGAACATTACCGTCATCGTTGTATGCTTCTTCGCCGCCATATACGTCATCATCATCGGCGATTCCTTTTCGGGAATCTTCCTGCTGTGAACAATGTGAGAAACGCGATAATTAAGAAAGAAAGAAAGTACGAAAGAAAGATCAGAGATGAACTAACGAATTTAGCAGATGCTTTGAGCTTTTTGAATGGTCTGTTTTTGTCACCTACAAATATGAAGTTGAAAGAGCATAATTATTTCATGTATTTGATTCGATAGATGGATTACAAATTCAGAACGAATTGCAAATTACCGTGTCCCATTGATCCAATGAATTAGATTAGGGTATGAATCTTTCTGTTTATTTTTATTTTATTTTATTTTTCTTCCTCTCTAGATAGAGCACAGCAGCAACTGAGAATTAAGAATGCGAATCAATGAATTTAGAAAAGAACGAGGGAATCTGCTTATTTATACATCCATTCATTCCGTTACTGACTGCTAATTACATTGGGAGGCAGAAGACGGTGCAGGTCGAGTGTGCAAATGCTCCCACCCATATTTGTTGTGGCCCACAACAAATATGGGCCGGCCCAAAACCTAAATGGAAAGGTATCATTCTTAAATTTATTTATTTATTTATTACAACGTGTTACCTATCTGTGTTACGACGGACGTCATGTACATGCGAGAAATCGTAAGATTCTTTGGCTCTACTAACATTTGTTGAAGTCGTAATGAGCTATTTCATTTCAAAAAAAATTCCATTTTATGTGGCTAAGAAACAAAGGGTGGAAGAAACCACCATGATATTGTCAATGCAGCATAATTTTGACTATGGTGCGATTGTTAACCATTTTTATGAAGAGAAATTTCCGTTTACTATTTGCTATGTCTGATTCAGCAAAAGACCTTGTTTGGAAACGACAAACTTGAGCACAAAGGACGACCCCCATTTGCAATGCCACGTCTGATAAAGGATCACCTCTACTGATAAAGGCATGGGGCACGGCTTTCAAGTTCCCCCCCCCCCCCCTAAAGAAGCATATTTACATATAAAAATTAGGTTTAAATTATCTCCTTTTATAGAAGACAACTATCTTATGTTAGTGAGACATAAAAAGTTGTGTCATTCTTTTTTTATTTTTTTTTATTTTTAAAAAATGATGAGACCCACGTAACTTGTTTCTATGCATGAGGTAAGTTATCTTCTATTGAAGTAGATTAATAAATCCCATAAAAATTATAAAACAATCCTTTGTTAATCTTGCTTTTGGGCTGAAAAAAACCAAGCAGACATAATTAAATATGAAAAAGGTCAAAAAAAATTCTTTAATTTGCTATAAACTGTTAAAGTTTCCATATTTATTTATTATTATTTATTTCCTTATTTTAAGTGTTTCTTATTTTATTATAAATAAGATTTAATAATTTGTTTTGTATATCATTTTGTATCGCGTCAATATATAAAATACCATCGAAGACAATTTGTATGATCCGTATATTCTAAAGATATGTCGAATAATTTTTTTTAAAAAGTGTCATGCGTGATTAGTAAAGGCGTGTAATATGTGATTTATAAATAAGAAAAACATAAATCAATATATGAATCTTAAAATAAGATAAAAAAAATTTAGAATGATATTCTATTATTCTTTATTTATTTATTCTATGTTTTCTCATATTATTAAAGGAAGGTAAATTGAGTTAGGTCCGAAGCGTTGATCAACTGAAAAGCGGGTACAGCAGTGGAAGTGAACGGCCGAGATATGTTGAAGAATGATAAAAGGGAATGAAGGGGGTAAGTGGAAGAATTTTCAATTTTATGTGCTAAGGCTTTTCTCGTACACGTAACCCTGTACTGCACTGCACTCGCGCACACACGCACACACACCAACACCTCATCATGTCAAATACAAACGAAAGCAACAACTCGCTCAGTTTCTTCTTCATCTCTTGCTGAATTTCGGTTTCAATTCTCACCGTTATTCTCAATCTCGAGGTTCAAACCTCCATCGCCAATCCTCTTTTTCTTTTATTTTCGGACTCATCAGTTGCGCTTATCTTCCTTTTCCTTCGTTTTTAGCTCAACTATCCAATACTGTACGTGTCTTTTTTTAGTTTTTTATTTTTATTTTTATCTAATTTATTGCTGTTTTTTTTTTTCTCTCTCTCTCTGTTTTCTGTCGGTTGATGCTTGATCATTGTTTTGAATTGAATTCGTTGAAATTACGTATAAGATTTATATGTTAGGCCTCTCTATTAATCGCTGTTTTTAAGTTTCAAATCATGGCTTATTCTGATTGTTTTGCTTGTGTTCTCGCTTGATGAATTGGATTGTGTTTTGGAAAGTTGGGTATTATTATTCTCTTTCGGTGTGGGTGGAGTATTTTCCACGCACGCACGATCGTAAATTTGCAATTACTATATTATTCTCTCTCTCTTTCTTTTTAGTGCGTGTATATCTTAAGCGTAAAATCTTACTTTTATATTAATTAATTATCTAAAGGAGTTGTGCATTTTTATGGTGATGAAGGTGAAATGATGCACCCAGTGCCAATAGTTATTTTTGGGTGCTGCAGATAAGGCGATATGGGCTGTTGGTGCTGTTGTTGTTCTTCCAAGGAAACTGAATTGAGCGCTCCACCTGCATACTATTATGTCAGTATCCTTATCGTATTTGAATTTCATGCTTTTGTTATTTTCTGCTTTTGCTTAACTTTATTTTTCGAGAAGCATGTTATTGTTGTGGCACATGCATAGCTTTCACTGATTATTCCATTTGATTCGGTTGGAAAACTTTCCAATAATTAAGATTCGTTGATTTATATTTATCAACCTCAAAAAGTAGTAGAAGAAATGACTATTTAGCTTGCGTGATAGACCTGTGATTTTTATACTTGGAAGATGTTTGTAACTCAGTTTGCTACCTACTGACGGAAGGTTTTAGAGTATTCTCAATGAAGTCTGTCCCTGTGAGGAAAGAAACCGATCTTGAGAGAAGTGGATGAGTTTATGGTCCTCCGTTTATTAGAAACATCTAATTGATTCTCCAGTGATAATTGCCATTAGTTTCGTCCATTTAGGAACTAAAATGGTGTCACCCTGAGGACCAATTTAATGGCATAACGTTGAAGGACCAGTTTTATGTATTTATGAATGGAGGACCAACCTGATACCACCTATATAGAGGATCAAATTGGATGTTTTAACTCTTGAAAAAAAAAAAAAATTAACCAGAACATATAATATGGACCTTTATATTTTTGGTTAAATGAGATTTTTGAAGTTTGCTTCTTGTAATTATGAGTTTATAATTGCTTTCGGCTGTTTATCTCTGATAGTTGTGCAATCAATCTGGGATAACATTTCTTCGTTTACTGAATTCTCTCACCAGTACCCAAGAGCATCAGAGGAGCATGTTCCACTATCATCTCACCAGGGTGCTGCCTCTGCTTTCTTTGGGAGGCTGTTGGTTGATACTAATCTAGATACTTCTAGTCCTAATACATATAGACCACCTCCTCCTCCTATCCCTTTCAATGTTACGTTAGGTGCCGCTCAAACTCCACCTGTGGCTCAAGAAATTTATGGTGACAAGAATAATACATCCTTGCATTCCTCAAATTCTAATTCAGTTCAAGAACTAGTTGCTGGAGACAATCATGGGAACTCAGCTAAGTTGGAAGAGCTGAAGGAATCAGAGTGCAAAGTTCAGACTGATCTAGAACAAGACTTGGCAAAGGATTCTGAAATTGAACTTCCAAAGTTGGGAGAACCTATAAATTTAGCAGAAGAGGAAGATGCATGCCCAATTTGTTTAGAAGGTGAAGTTGTCTCAGCTTCTTAATTTAATTTCTATTGACATTTATCCTGTTTTTGGTTTAAATATGAGAGTTGTTGATGGATCTGTATCTTTTTATCCTAGCAGAGTATGATGCAGAGAATCCAAAACTTACCACAAAATGTGACCATCATTTTCACCTTGCTTGCATTCTGGAATGGATGGAAAGAAGTGAAACTTGTCCTGTGTGTGATCAGGTTTCTCCCAATCATTCCCAATTTCCGATCTATCTTTAGATTTTTTGTAAACATGCCCATATGAATATGATACTTTTTTTTTTTATGCAGGATATGGTTTTCAATCCTCCCATTGAATAATACATATCAACTTAGGAGTTCAAATAAACTGTGAGATAGCTTTTGAGAAGCAAGGTTACAAAATCATGAGTCCACTATTCTAGCAACCCGAGCGAGCATATGGCTGTATTTTGATTGTTTTGTTTTGAGTTTCCTGAGGATTTATTCCATTTTTTATGCAGAGTCCCTTGTGTTGGTTACAGGAAATTAAAGGAAAGTAAAATGTTCTCTTTTCATAGTTTTCAATTAGAAAGTTAAAGTGATATCAGGATACTACAGGCCATGCCTTGCATAGATTATCTTAATTCTTAGGAGACAGTATAATTGCAACACAGAATGATCAATATGATTTTTCGTTCTTCTCTTATTGTTAGACTATCAGACTCTTGTTATATTTGTCAAAGAATGATCCGATGCTTTCACTTTCGTTGTCTTGCGATCATCTTTTATATTTAAATTATGTGGTTTAGCTGACAAGCATTGGACAAGAATGATCACATGGAATGATATTTCTGGGTTTGGTCGAAGACAAATAATAGCTCTTAGCTCATTCCATTGCGCATTTCCGTATGTATTCGTTTACGGGTTTCCTTATTATGACTGCTTACTACTCTTCTCCAACCTGAGTTTCATAGGGCCTGCTTGGTGTATATGCTTGGTGTATAGGATAAGATAATGTATGATAATATAAGACTTGATTGTATTATACTTGATTAAATTTTAATATTATTCAGTATTTGACATGATGACATTGTAGAAGATAATATATTGTATAAGATAATACTATTTATTATTTGGAAATGCATTGAATAATACTAGACATGATAAAAATAAATATTTTTGACAAAAATATACTTTAATAACAAAACGAAAATCTTGTATGAATCAAATTCAAATTTCAAATTGAAGTATTACTTCAATTTTGAAGTGCATAGTGGTTGTATATTTTTAATGTTTAATTAAAATTGTTTTCATGAAATTAGGTGCAAAAGCTTCAATCATCGCCATCAATGGCATCCATTGATTAATTTTTCGTTTGCATTCTATTCTATATTATATACATAGACAAGAACGAAGCGAAGAAGCGAAGTATGTCAAAAATCCATATCCACAATCTTCAATCGGAAGCTCTTGTGGAGGTTGCAGCGGAAAGAGCAGCTAAGGTGCATTAAGGGCGAGCACATGTAGGTTCACTTTTGTTGGTGGCTCTGACGTTTGACCACCTCGCCGGGGCCAGTGCTGGCGACGGAGATGGAATTGTTCAGGGAAAGGGAGGTGGGTTTGTGGCGTATCCAGTGAAGGTAATGCTTGAACAAAAAATGAAGAAAGAAGAGGATGAAGAAGAAAGAGGTAGAAAGGGAACTGAATAATTACCCTTATACATTAATCCCTTATTAGGCCTAATTTCACTCTCGAAAAGGCATGTTTGGTGCATAGTATAAGATAAGGTCTGATAGTATAAGACCTGATAGAATTTTAATACTATCTAGAGTTTGGCACGGTATTGTATAAAATAATATATTGTATAAGATAATATCATCTAGTATTTGATAATGTACTGTATAATATTATATATGATGAAAATAAATATTTTTAATAAAAATATCTTTTAATAAAGAATTTATATAATTCTTCAAAAAATGTCATATGATATTAATTTTTATAAAAATTTATTGATCATGTGTCCATAATATAAATTTTTATAAAAATAAAAATATTCAATATTTTAAAAATTAATATATTGAAAAATATATTTTTATTTTAATAGATTAATATTAAAATAATATATTAATTTTTGAGAATTACATTGGTCAACGATGTTAATACATCAATCTCTTATCAGGCCTTATCCCCCACCCTTAGGCCGGATTAAGTTATACATCGTTTTGATGTATTAAGGGCATGTTTGGTGCATAGTATAGAATAAAGCCTGATAGTATAAGACCTAATAATATAAGGCCTGATTGAATTTTAATACTATCAAGCGTTTGGCACTGTATTGTATAAAATAATATATTGTATAAGATAATATCATCTAGTATTTGGTAATGCACTGTATAATACTATATATGATAAAAATAAATATTTTTAATAAAAATATCCTTTAATAAAGAATTTATATAATTCTTCAAAAAATGTCATATGATATTAATTTTTATAAAAATTTATTGCTCAATGTGTCCAAAATATAAATTAATTTTTATAAAAATAAAAATATTCAATATTTTAAAAATTAATATATTGAAAAATAAATTTTTATTTTAATAGATTCATATTAAAATAATATATTAATTTTTGAGAATTACATTGGTCAACGATGTTAATACATCAATCTCTTATCAGGTCTTATCCATCACCCTTAGGCCAGATTAAGTTATACATCGTTTTGATGTATTAAGATATTATGTTGTATAAACTTATATTATACGATGGTCATACCAAAAAATTGAAAATGTCATAGCATATAGTATAAGCTTATACTATCATGCCTTATACGTCACACCAAACAGGCCCTAAGTTATACATCATCTTGATGTATTAAGGGATCCTGCTGTATAACCTTATACTATACGATAGTCACGCCAAACAACTGAAAATGTCATAATGTATAGTATAAGTTTATACTATCAGGCCTTATACATCAGACCAAATATGCCCATATTTTTAGAACAAAATTTAATGAAGGATTAATTATCGCATTTGTGGTACTTGAGAATATGAAAATATAAATGTTGTATATTGTGTATTGAAATAATACAAAGGTGTACAATATATAAAGACCTTAATGGACTTAAAAGAAAAGTCCAGACCTAACTCATATCCTAAAATAAGGAAATAAATATTTACATATAAGAATGTAATAAATACAGATAATATTTTTATTTCTAATACTCCTCCTCAAGCTGGCGCGTATATATTATAAACTCTCAGCTTATTACATATGTAACCCATTTGGGGACCTCCAAGAGCCTTGGGAAAAATATCTACAAGTTGATCATTGGAATTGACAAATGTTCTCTTGATATCTCCTGACTGAATCTTTTCTCTAACAAAGTGACAATTAATTTCTATATATTTGGTCTTCTCGTAAAAACTGGGTAAGAGGATGTGTGCAATGTAGTTTGATTGTCAAAAATGAGTTTCATAGATCGTTGTTCACTTAGATGTAGTTCCTTAATCAATTGTCTCAACCAAATGAGCTCATAGGTTGCATTTTCCATTGCCTGATATTTTATCTCAACACTTGACCTGGCTACCACAGTTTGCTTCTTATTTTTGCAAGAGATCAAAATACCTCCAAGGAGGATACAATACCTCGAAGTGGAGGATCTGTCTGAATGAGAACCTGCCCAATTAGTGTCTGAATAGCTACACACATCTGTATTCCCTTTATTTGTCTATAATAAACCTCTTCCTGGTGATTTTTTGACGTATCAGATAATCTTGATAATTGCATCCCAATGAGAGTCACAAGGAGAATCAATGAATTGACTTGCCACACTAATTGCAAAAGAGATGTCCGACTTTGTCACAGTAAGATAGTTCAACTTTCCAACTAATCTGCGATAACGACTGGGGTCTGCCAATGGCTCACCCTGTCCGGGTAATAGCTTGACATTAGGATCCATAGGTGTATCAATGTGCTTACATCCCAACATAATAGTCTCCTCTAGGATATCCAAGGCATACTTTCTCTAACAAATGGAAATATACTGCCTGGATTATACCACTTCGATCCTTAAGAAATAATGAAGTCTGCTAAGGTCTTTTGTCTGAAATTAACTGAATAAGTACCTCTTTAACTGATCAATCTCAGCTTGATTGCTGTCAGTAATAATGATGGCATCAACATAGACCAAGAGGTAGATGCATTGATCAGAAGAGCTACACCGGTAGAAAATAGAATGATCGACTTCACTTCGAATTAAACTGAAGGCTTGAACAGCAGAACTGTAGCGACTAAATCAGGCCCGAGAAGACTGCTTCAGGCCATATAAGGCCCAAGAAGTCTGTCCAAGTGCCATTGAAGTAAAGTGCAGCATTTCATTAATCATGCCATCATTTTCTTTTGATTTCTTTTGTAATTCTGGACGTAGGGAGGTTGGCCTACAATATCTGGGCGATTTGGATTGTTGTGAGTGTTTGTGATACAAGTGGAATGATCCTAAGGGGCTTAGGTTGAGCGTGATCAAGGTTTGGTCACAGGTCTTGTAAATCGATTTTTCAAGTACCGGTTGGGAGCTTGAAGAAAGTGGAACGGTCGGCCTCAGTCTGGATGTAGCTCTTAAGTGGTTGGAGAGTGAATCAGGATAAATCTTGGTGTTTTCTTCTCTTTTCCCTATCCTTTTATTTTTCGATGCATATAACTCGTATTTGATTCATTATATATAATGATTTGAATCTATTTTAGAGGCGGGGAATGTTTGTTTATTGATCAAATTCGTTCTTACATGTTTGGTTGAAAAGGGTTTCAAGATTTTATTATTTTTATCTCTCTTCTCTTATCTTTTTTATTACCGCTGCTATATCACTGTTATTGCATGTTATATGGTATATTTTGAATTTATTTTATGATGGGAAAGGTTTAGTTTCTATTTCAATTCGTTTTGCATTGATTTCTTGAAAAAAGGGTTTGATTTTCTTTGTTTCTTGCAAAAGAAGTAAAACAAAATTTACCCCTTCTTGTGTTATTGTTTAGCCATTTTTTCTATACATTTACCGAAGTGTTAAAATTGACATTTTATATTATAGCTTCTGTTTAATAATAAATTATGTTGCATTTAATACCATAAAGTGATGTTAACAAGTCGGTTGCAAACACGGTGTTGCACAAATCATTTAAATTAATTTTTTTTATTATTGTAGAATTAATTATGATCCTAAATAAATTAATTGCATTTTAAAAATTTTCTTAAATTTTTTAATAAATAAAGGTAATAAAAAAGAATCCAATTGGCATGAAATATCGAGACACACACATTAATCTCTTAGGCATGCATTGCACATATTATTCATATTAAATATCTATAATTTTGATGGATAAAATTTTAATATACATATATTTAAAATAATATATTTTGATTTCAAAAAATTATAAATTAATATACTTTAAGAGAGGTGATGAACTTAAGTTAATACAAGGTGAATGAATCTTACAATCGTGGAAGCCTGAAAGTGTCATTGCTAAACAGATAAAAGTTAGAATAAAGTCTCTTTTGCATCCCTAACAAAAAAAACGATTCTCACTTTAGTCTCTTACAAAAAAAAAAATTAGTCGTCTGGTCCCTATGAAATTCGAAGTGGACCCATTTTAGTCCTTTTGAGGGACTAATGTGGGTCTTTTTTGAATTTGTGAGGGATCACGATTTCAACTAAATGAGTTCACTTTGATTTTCTTAGAGATCTCGGGACTATTTTTTTTGT